CCTCTCCCGCCATGGCTGCGTGTGAAGTAGCATTGCCTCCTGTCAAAGGTTGCTCTGGTCCTGCTCTTCTCCTTGTGATTTGGTTCTCAGTCCAGGTCATGGTCTAGTGCCACCCTTTAAGGAGTGGGGAGGGGTGTGAACAGAGAGTCACATCCAACGAACAAGTCCAACTCCTTGTGTCAAGTCTCTGGCCCTGACTCTGGGCCCAGTGTCATCACACCTGTATCTTTGTGCGCTGAATTGTGCTCATCCTTTCACATCAGGGCGCTTTACGCCGCTTTCCCAGTGACTGGTAGGGGAACCCAGGCCCATCCTCTCCTCCATCAGATACCTTGCCTCTGGAATCCTTCCTACCATTAACCTTTCTTCAGGTTTTTTCCCAAGCCTCTTGTCTTCCTGGGAGCTTTATAACAAACTGCACCTCCCAGAGCTCTATCCAAGTCTTGCCCTTGTACCAGGGGTGGCCACAGGAGCTTGCTCTGGTCCTGTGTTATCAGGTAGCCTCCTTCCCCGGGCAGCCTTCTCACCCTGCGGGCCTTTCTGTTCCCTATGGATCGCTCCATAGCTATAATCCCAGTTCTCTGAGAGGGACTGCAGAGTTAGCCTCGCTCTCTCACTGTAGCCCTTTACCCTTCAGTGTGAAACATCTCCCAGGCTTTATGCATAACTGCCTTGGTCTTTTCCATGGCCAGTTTCCGCCTGGCCCAGGCAGCCCCCACCACTGCTTTCCCCAGGCATCAGTTCCCCCAGCCACCTGAACAAAGGGGGTTGGGAGCAGCTTTAACCTGAGGCATCAGCAGTGAGGAGGGAACACTGCGGCTGCCTGCTCCATGGCTCCAGCCAGAACAGCAGCTACTCCGCACTCCCAGTTCTGACTTCCCACCTTGGAACTGGTTGGGAGGAAGATGTGGGGGTGCCGGGGAGAGAAGGAGGGATGTGTGTGGGGGTGGCGCTGCCCCAAGGACTGCCCTGCTCTTGCACTGCAGTTTGGGGGAGGCATTACCTCCCCCCCATGCACCTCAACTCTGTCCATGGGGTCAGGACTTCTGCCCCATGGGGCGCACCGGGGCTTGGGGCTCTAGGCCTTGGGTTCTGGGCCTCAGGCACTGGGTTTCAGCCGTGGGATCCCATGCCTCCCCTGAAAGGGTACATGGACCCCCATGGGGTTGCAGATCCACTGTTGAGAACCATTAACCTAAGGTATGGGATAGCCTGGGTGAAATCCCCAACCCCCCTTCCTGTTAAGAAGCAATTTGAAGGGGATCACTTAGTGTCAGGTGTGTGGGCTATATACCTGATTGGGGGGACTCCCTCAGGCTTGCCTGTGGAAGCTGTTCCACTTTATTTAGAAACGCCTGTATGGTGAAGTGGTTTCAAGTGGGATCTCTAACAGCCTGGGTGAATACCCTGACCACTGGAAACAAAAGGGTGATTTGTTTGTTTTCTGGGGTCCCAATTAATGTTTAAGTACAAGTAGAAGAGCCAGTGATAAGCGCATGCACCTAAGGTTGCAGCTCCCCTGTTCAAACCCTTTTGTAACAAGCAGAAAGGGGAGTTGACCCAGGTTTGTCCATGTGGGGCCTCTACCCCCATATCATAGATGGCTTCACATCTTTGCTTTGGCCCAATTAAGAGGTAGTTAATGTGGAACAGCTTCAACAAGACTGACTGAGGGCACAACCCATCAACATACCTCATAGACTAGTACTTAGGCCATTCACTTGACTGGTAAGAGGACCACAGTTCAAATCCCCTTCCCTCAAGCAAAGAGGAGATTTCAACCTGACTTTATTACCTGCTGGGTGAACACTCAAACCCCTGGACTAGAGAGGGCCTCAGACTATGGCCCAATTATTATTGAACAATATTGGAATAGCTTCACCAATAGCTGTAGAGTAGCCCACATCAACTTATGCCTTAGTTTAATGATTGGGGCACTCTCCTGCAAGATGGCATACCCCTGTTCTAAGCCTGGCTCACTGGGCGGGAGATTGAACCAGCATTGACCCCTCCTCTGGTGAGTACCCTAATCAATGGGTAAAAGTGAGGTGGGAGCACTGCTTCTTCTCTCAGAACCCTCATCTGGGAAGTGACAGACCACCCATCCCCCAAAGCCCTTTTCCTCAACAGGGAAAGCGAAGAAATTTGACCCACGCTCTCCAGTGTTCTGAGTGAATACCCTAACCATTGAGCTAACGGGTCTGTCTCCTTCTTGACCACCTTGTGTGGTGTTAGGCGGCTGCTGAGTCTACCAACCAGCTCAAGTCCCACAGGGAAGAAAGGCAGCACAATGCCTGTTTGCCCTGGGCTTGGGGCATAGGCGTGAGATAGGTGTCTGGTTCCTACAGTGAAGTAGCAATACATATCCTCGGCTGCAGAAACGTAGGTGCCTAGGCAATGTTTGGAGCAAAAACTTAGGTGGAAAATGAATTTATATGGTTGGGAAGCATTTGAACAGGGCGTTTTGTGGCTCTTAGTGGTGCCTAAAACTGGAATTTAGGTACCTTTGTGGCTCTGGCTTTGTGTGCCTATGGTACATACTGAGCATGCATAGTCTCAACTCAGCACTGCATGCCTGCTGCGTCAGGACTCACTGTACCACTGACTAAAACACTACTGGAGTTCCCTGTGTAGTTTGCCCCATTGTTTAAATAAAGGGAAAGGGGAGGAGTTCTTCACCAAATGACTTTCAAAATTGTACCCGCCCAATGCTATTCTGCCTCTTCGTCTAGCATACCATTGCTCAAGCCAACGTAGTTCTGCATTTGCGAGCACTTTAAAATTAACCACAACTCATTTATCAGGAGGGGAAGGGAGTTGTATCTCTGGCACCCCTTGCCCATGACCCCAAATGGTACTCAAGGCCTTCTACTAGCATACAAATTTCAAAGCCAATCTGACTGTCTAACAATTTTAGAGCATGTTGAAAGTTTAAACAGTTATGTGACTGCAGCCTGCGTGTGGCTCTTTGCACCCATTGGCAGCCCATGCCTTGCTCACAGCAGCCCCACTTGGTAGAAACAATACTTGGATTATTGCCTTTTGGAATTGGGTGTTGGTCAGATTAGGGGAAAGCTAGTGAGATAAATTCTATGTGAATCCTGCTTATTTCCCCCCTAGCATTGAGCAAAAGAAAAGTGATTTCTTCCCATCCCAAGAACAAGCATGGTGGTGTGGTGTCTCAGTAAAGTAACCACATGTTGTTAGTTATAAGCTTACTCCCATTGGTTTTGAGGGTAAAGAGCAGAAACATTCAGATGCAGTCACACAGCAATACCGATACAACAGTCTAGCAGGCAGCTATGTCTCTGTCTGTTGATGGCTTTATAAATTAGGACCATTACTTTGAATTCATGGCCTGGACAGACCTGACCTAACCAGAGAGTTAATGAAGAACCAAGCAGTAGCTGAATCAGTTAAGTTCTTGCTTGGTATCACTAGCAGAATTTGAGGGTAGGTGACTGCAGTCCCACCCAAGGCAGCTTTTTCAGACTCAGCAGCCTGGGTCTCACTGGTATCTTTATTATACTGTGATGGGAAGCAGGCACCTTTGGATAATGTGAACTACAAATTGTTTGCTAAGAAGAACATACCACTGAGAAACTGCCACCGCCAATGAACTCCTTCAGACAGTACCTGAAACATGCAAATGATCAGTCATATGTATGGCCTCATGCAACAGTTAGTATCTTCAAGTGTCCCCTGGAGCACCGGACATCCTAACATACTGGTGCTGCCACCTGTTCCAGAAGCTATCCCCACCTTTGTGCAGTGTGGTTGTGTGAGTACCTGTGCAACAAGGAGATGCAAATGTCAGAGGGAAGATTTGGTGTATTCTGATGCATTCAACTGTGACAGTGACGAGCGTAGCAACAGAGTACTGTACTCATCAGTCACAGGTTCGGCGAGGGAGTAGTAATGTTACATCAGACATTCAGTAGCTCATAGTTATATGTAGGGATTACATAATGGCACATAGTTACACTTTGTAATTCACATGATATATTCATACAAGACATTCTACAGCCCTCTACTAAGAGTCATTACTGTTATATAAGTAGTTTACATGTATTGTCATTGTATTCAGTGATAGTAAGGAGATAATTACAGGTGTACCATGTGTACTTTAGACTTGTGTCTTCGGTTGAGCCAATAATTTTTTTCTATAATTAGGTGGCAGGGGTCTTATTGTCTGCATAACTTCATAAAATAGCAGATGAAAAAACTGTTCTCAAATCAGTCTAGTCTACAAATAATGACAAAAAGTTTGATGTATTATATGGTACAAACAAGCTCATACTTTTGTGTCACTACAGACAAAGGCAAAGTATGGGAAAATACATAAAATAGATAATTTGGAGCTAAATATTTCCCAAACTTTCCAAACAGTACTATTTTGAGTACATAGTTACATTATTAATTGTATTTAGCAGTTTTCTGCCAATTTCTACGAGTTGTGGCCCTTTGTGTGATTTTATGACACTTTTGGATTGGATGCTCACTAACATTTAACATTACATGATGTAGAAATACTGCATCACTTCCAGCATCTACATCCATCCTGGTGATGATCACCAGATATGTGCCTAACTTGTGATAACAATACAATTTTTCTTGTTCATAGGTTACCCCTTAGTGTCCCAAATGGGTCCAGGCTGGTAGACTAGGTTTGCATATCATAACTGTAATTAAACATTGCAAATTCTGCTTCTAAATGAAACCAGCAGCCCAGTGGGGTTGAGAGGAATCCTGTAAATTAGTCAGTTCTGTGGTTACAGGTAGCTCTCCCTTTTTGGTTAGCAGGTTAGCATTGCCTTAATGGACATCATGAAGGAAGATAGTGCATCATGACTTTATTGATTTTCATTTTCTCATACAGAATAATCACAGAAGTCACTAACTACAATGCTGAGAAAACAGATTCTTGTTTGTGGATGAAAGAAAGAATTCAAAGGACCCTACAGATGTCCAACATTTTGAAGGAAAGGTAGGAGCAAGGATTAAAATTCACAGATAGTGAGGCGGTACTGGTTGCAACTTGTGCCATTCCAGGCACCGTTAGTGCACATCTCCATGCAGTTTTCTTCCCCTATGTCACTGGGCTCACCTGCATGCCAGTTTGTATAATTTACAGCTGTTCCATCCAGGAAACTGAATTTACCTGGAATCCCACCCCCCTTAATGCCCAGATAGGTATAGCTATTAAATAACCTCACAATACTGAAAACAGCATCATTCTCCCCCTTATTCCTGGGAGATGCAATGGAGCCGCCCGCCTGTTTGCATGCTTCCAGTGTGGTCTCAAAATCGACTTCTTGCCCATTGGTAGCAAACATTTTTTTTCCAAATGTCGTTATGGTCCCATCGAAGGCAAGGACTACAAAGTAAAGCAAAAGATCTTTTTAAACTTTTTTGAATCATTTTATACTCTCATGATTACTACAATACTGGGACTCCCTCTTTCTGTATTCTTCTATAATAAAATAACCCTTCCGAATAAAATAAGGAACACAAATTGCAAACTTCATGCAACTCTCTCTCCTCCCCACCCCCAGATTAAAAAAACCCAGAGCATGGGCTATGTCATGCTATCCTACTAAACACTGCCCTCTGCTGGATGGAACATCAATGACATGCTAAATTGAGTAGGCTATTGCTCCTGTCTCGTTACTTCAGAACAGAGAGAATATAAACTCAAGAAGAGAGGAGAATGGAGGAGGGAGTTGAAAAGGGAGAAAGAGAAGGGGAGGAGAATTCATTAGAGTTAGTTACAAGACTAGAAGGGAATAGGAGATAGGAAAGAGATGGGAAAGGGAGGAGAAATAGATGAAGATGATGGAGAAGTGGAGAGAGAAATTATAAATGAAAAGGAGTCAAAGGGAATGTGGATGGGAGGGGAAAAAATGAAGGAGAGAAGAGAAGAATTTTTTAAAAAAATCCACTTTGCTCCTTAGGCTCCTATCTTTTAAAGACTAATGCACCTGCTTAACTTTGCATATACTGTGTAATGGGACTGACTTCATTGGGACTACCCACAGTGCATAAAGTTAGGCACATGCATAAATCTTTGCAGGCCTTAGTTAGATATGACACTGTTGGCACTTTTGTAGCCACAGATTAACTGTGATGGCCATCAGGGTCACTCACAGAATTCAGGTGACCCAGAGAGATACTCCTGAAAGCACTTCTGCACAGAAAGGGATTATGCAATAAGCCAGCTCTGCCTTGTTTGCCTCAGTGTTTCAACATATCACAGTTATCTGGGGCTGGTAGGAGGAACCCTAGTAACTAATTATATAGCCCACAGGTTAACCTCTTTAACACAATACAGATTGTATCATTGCCCATCCCCAGAAATCCTTGTTCCTTTGTATAAAAAGAATGTAAAAATAAATGGAACAAGACTCAGACTATTTTTAAGGAGCTGGTATTTCATGGCTTATTTTTTCCACACTTGTTAATCAAGTTATGGGTGGGGCAGAACGCAAAAGCAGACAGATTACCTCTTTCCAGTCTGGCAATTTGATTTTTGAATCCTTTGAGGGTTTCTTCTAATTCAGGATTACGAATAGCAGGTAGGCCTATGGACCAAAAAAAAAAAAAATTTGTCCTTAAGTTTAAATGTTAGGACCAGGCTTCACTGATAATGTGGATGTCATTGTGTAAAATTAATAGCAGTTTTCTAAAACACTTGTGACTGAGTTACATTTGTTTGATTTTTCTATGTGAAAGAATTTGATCTCAGTGTGTTAAATGAAGGGCCGTTTCATATGCTGACCATCCTGATAATAAACAAGGCTTGTGGAAACTACTTTAAGAAGGAAACCACTTATGAAGAATTAAAATTGAGATCTTTGTGTTAGTCTTTAATGCCCCACCGGTGCTTTGCATCAGGCAAAAGAGGGTTTGGCAGGCGTACTGCTGTGCCTGGTTGATGCTAAAATAGTGTATGGGCTCCTTGAGATACAGCTGACAGCCGGTGTAAGATACAACATCCTTCAGGCTGTTTCAGTGCTTCCTGGTCACAGCACTGGGAAGCTGCAAAGATAGATTAAAAGCCATCTTTGTAGCACTCACCCCCTTCACCTCCAATCCCCCTGGGACCTGGTTGGTCAGGAGAATCTGGGCTATAATCTGTAGTTTTCTACTCTGCGGCTGCTAATGATAAAGGCTGGCCTGTGCTCAGGATATGGTCAGAGAAGTAGATTTTGCTGTGATGAGATACTACTTGTGACTTGATAGCTGCTCTGGAAAGCCCTGACCACATGGGGTGTTTGTGGTGGAGCAGAATCAAGTGTAACAGACTTGTAAAGTGGGTGTTGTGTCTCCTTGTAATTATAATGGAAGGTAGAAGCTTTGGTGTTGTTGATCATGGATTCAAACCTTGTGGATAACCTTGCAGAAATGTAATCATCTCGTCAGTTCGTACAGTGCCAATTAGCTTAATTAAATTAATCTCTTACGTCTAAAGTACGACCGTACTCTGAATAGTGACTCTGTAACAATGGCATTTTGGAGATTCAGGTTTATAGTCTTTCTGGGATGTCTGTGATGAATGTATTATTTTACAAAGAGAGAGACATTTTTGTACTCACTTCCAGTGCTGCAAACCCAACCTAGTCTCTGAAAGACAAGTTGCACTCTTTCCTACTGGTACATCATCTCTAAGGTTATGCCTACCAGCAGCTGGGAGGGTGTGTCTCAGCGCAGGCAGGCAAACACACACTAGCTCTGCTCAAGTTAGCATGCTAAAAATAGCAGTATGGCTGTGGTGGCATAGGCAGCAGCTTGGACTAGTCACCTACATTGTACCTAGGACCTCAGAGGGGTCCGGTGTGGCTACTTGAGTTGGTGTAGATATACCTTAAGTGTGAAGGTTCTGCAGTCCCAGTTATGCCTGTAATGGGTATGTCGACATGTTGTTTTAAATCTTACAGCAGCAAGTCTCAGAACCCAGGTCTACAGACTCAGACTTATGGGGCTTATGTTACTGTGCTAAAAACAGCTCTGTAGACATTCAGGCTCAGGCTGGAGCTCAGGCTCTGAAACTTGCCCCTGCCCCGGGCTTCAGAGCCTGAGCCCAAATGTCTGTAGACCTGAGCTCCGAGCCTCATGGCGGCAGGTTTTGAAATGCACCCAGTGACACCAATGCAGTCCTAGCTCTCTCATTTTCAGTTGCATCACTTCTGCAGCAATACCAGGAGTAAGCCACAGTAAGTTATCCTAGCCAGGAAAGCCAACAGACATAACTGAATAGACACAGGGAGAAGATCAGCTGAGTATGAAGATACAATTTCACATAGTCACTTTTCGGAGTAGAACTGAAAGTTAAAAAACTCAGTTATGGCCATTTTTCTCTAGGTTGCTTTAGATAAAGACACAGGCACATACAGACAGACACTGCCACCCCCATAAGATTAAGTGAACAGATTGTTCTTTTTCACCTGGTTGTCCAGGCTGCCTTCGCTCTCCCTTCTCGTCTCGTTCAACCCTCGGCCCTTGTGGCCCATGAAGCCCATCTTTTCCAGGAGGACCTCTCATGGAACTTGGTGGCCCTGGGGGACCTGCTGAAGGGAAATATATGAGTGAAAACTTGCCAGACTCCTCACTGAGCTTCTTCCCAAATGATGCATTTAATTCAGAATAAGCACTGCTGCTGACTTCAAGGGAACAGATTGCATTACATCAGCTCAATAGCTTTTCATTACCTGACATGATTTAGGTGAAGGTTGGATGCATGTCAGAGGCAGAACATTTACTCCCTACAATGAAAGACCAAATGCACTTTCAGTGCCTAGAAACCTGGTCCCTGCAACATCCTTGGTGTTTGGGTTGGAGGAAGCTGCTCACTTGTCCTCTAATCTGGAAGGAAGATCACACAATGGCCAATAGGGCTATGTGGTGAGGGAGCCTGGGAAAGTTCTAAGAAAGGCAGTACCACTTATATTTTCCAACTCCCCAGAATGATCAGCTAGAGAGGATATAATATATATATATTATATATTATATAATATATAATATGTATATATATATATATGTATATATATATATATATACACACACACACACACAGATTGGTGTTTACTGCAAGAGTTCCTGGATTAGATGCAAAGTTGAACACCGATCAACAAAGTGAGTACCATGTGATTGGTACGCACTTCCAGCACTACAGACCAGGCTGGAAAGGCATCTAGAGTCTTTAACATTTAGGTACTTTTATAGTGAAATCATGATATTACAGAGCAACTTCACTTTGCCTAAGAAGTCCCACTGACATAAAGGCAAATAGGATTTGGCTCTGTAAGTAGCAGTTCATTAGAAGCTGGACTTGTAGTATTCACATCACATGGAAAACAATTCCAGATTTTCATTCTTCTGTACGATATGCAGAAATTGTCTACATGACAGAAAAGGGACTTTTAAAAACGGAATGAGCGCAATATGTTTGGAACAACCCCTTCGCCCCCAGCATCCCTGTAGACACATTATGATTCCTTCACAATCACATTAGCTGGTGGTCTTGTAGCTTGGGGGGCGGAGTAACATTCTGAAAAACACCTACGTAACCAAGCACCACTAACTTTCAATGAGACTTGGGCTTCTAAATGTTTGTCACTTTCGAAAATGGGACAGAAAGTGCAACAAAGTAGAATTTGGTTTATCAGATACAAATAATGAAACACAGCAGAATATCTCTATATCTGGGGTGAGTGACCACTGCAATTACCTTGCAGTCCTGGGAGTGCTTTTAAACCAGGCTTTCCTTCTTTTGCAGGCATTTTGTTCAGTCCAGGTTTGCCAGGGATTCTGTGAATTCCTTCATGGTGGTCCCCAGCATGGCTCGTCGCCAGCAAAAAGACTATTGCTGTGACTACGTGAAACAATTGGGGCGACATTGTTGGAGGCCAGCTATAAAACAAAGAGTATTTACTACCCAGTGCTGAGTGCTTTTTTTCAAAATTAAAAATGATTGAGAAGTGTTATTTCAAAATAACATTTTCTGTTTGGGACTGAAATCTTTCAGTGTAGTCTTTTTCCCCCTGTGATACTAATGTGATTAGTGTAGCCATAAAGCAGTTGGTGTTTGCATGATTATTACACTGCACCAAAATAAAACAATTAATCCTTTACAAAATATACTCATCTGTCTAGAGAGCAAAAAACTTTTTTATAAAGCTATTGATTAACTTATCTCATTTTTTCTTGTGTGACAAGTGTAACTCCAGTATTATTTATGCAGCAATAGGTAGGCATGTCCACTATAGTCAGAAAAAAACAATAAAGATTACTCTGGGTACACTGTCTTAATTATTTATATTTTAAAAGGGAAAAGCAACCATTCAGACTTTTTATTCTTCTTCTGCCTCTCTCTCTTCATTGTCATAAATAGCATTTTATAAACACTTCTGTATCAGTGGTGATTTCCTCAGTAAAAATAGACTGGAAATGTAAAGAAACTCTGAAAAAGCACCTAAGATGGGAAGTTTAAATTGAGATTTAATTTTTTGTAATTTTTAAAGAAGTTCAACTTACCTCTCAGCTCCAATGTGAAATGCAAAAGGAGCATGATAGAGGTCCAATGTATAGGGCACGTAATTGGAGATACCTTTTTATGTTTATTGGAAATGTATTGTGTGTAATTGGATATACCTTTGGCCAGCAACACAGACATTTGATAACAGTTACCTTGAATGATTTTTGCTTCGATTTTCTTTATGTTTAAAGCCTTGCGCAAGAACATATGAAAAGTCATCATGCACTGATGCTTTCCCATTTTGTTGAGCTAAGGTATTACATTTTAATTGGGTAAAACAGTCTTGGAGCAGAAGAATAGATGATTGCAGAGATGTCTGTCATGAGTTGTTTGCAGAATATAACGTTTCCCTAGATCTTCTATTTACTCTAAGTATTAAATAATTACATCTTCATTGTGATTTTAAATGTCTCAGAAGAAAAACAAGCCAGAACACAGCTGACTTTTATTATATACATATTATTTTCTCATATACCATAGTGTAAAAGTGTTATATGCCCATCAGTGACTGTAGCTGACAGCTCATGAGTAAGCACAATCTAACACAATAGAGACAAAGCATACAAAACAGGACACGCCATCTCCACCTGTGCCCTATACAGAGTAACTCCCAGATAAGAATTTAGTTGATGCACTAAGGTATAAGTAGATGCACCACAGAATATTGTAAGGGGAATTCCATATCCCACTAAGAAGTATAATTCAACATGATAATATTAGGGGGATAATATCACCTACGAAACAAGAAGCCAGATTCTCATTTAGATTAAATTCCCTTTACACAGCTCTGGCAATGCACAGAGGCCTTAAAAGTGGTGGAAACATACTGGGAATGGAAGACTTGTTTATATTACCTTACATTTTTATGTCCCTGGTAAAAGTTATTCCCTTGTAGTGGCTATTTAGTGATCTATGTTAAATGAGCCGCTGCTCGTGGTCCAGTTCACAATGGATGCGTCTGATGTTACCAAATCAGCACCAGAACTGGTACAAACCAGCCTCCTCACTGGTAATGTCTACAGCCAGACTAAGGACTGAAAGAGATGTGAAGTCTGTAGCTCACAACAATAGACACTGAACTCAGGGACTTAGTGGGCAATGGGACTGAGGGTTGCAGCATCTTGGAGGAATGGGAGGAAATCTGTGCTGTCTATGCTGTGCATGTTCTTTAGATAAACAGAGTTCATCAGTCTCCAGTTGCTCCTAATCTGGCACTTTTCACCAGCAACATTTTAACATCTGTTTTGAAATATAAAAGACCTTGTGTGTACAAATACACACAAATATATACATATATATATATAACATCCCATAATGACATTAAAAGAACACTAAGACAACGTCCACCTCTCAAAAATTAGTAAACACCAGACAATGTTGCCTGTAGAACCGTAATTCAGCTCTTTTGTGCATATGCATTATGATACAGTCTTTACTTATATGATCACATATTTTTTTCTGAAGGACCATGCCTCATTCAGTGGATGAGTATTTATTCAATATTTCTTTTTATCCGCTGTATTCAATGTGTGACCCCAGGCCTTATTTTGCACACACCATTCAAACCTTGCATACTGACTACAAAATTATTAAATTTGCCCTGTTTGCAGTGTTGTTATAGCCATATGAGTCTCAGGATATGAGATACACAAGGTAGGTGGGGGTAATATATTTTATTGGACCAACTTCTGTTGGTGAGGGAACAAACTTTTGAATGCCACAGAGTTCTTCTCCAGGTTCCAAGTTGGTCCAATAAAAGATATTACCTCACCCACCTTGTCTTTCTAATTTTCTACTGGGCATTTCTATGGGGCTCTCACCACAGTAAATAGGTACTTCATAAACAGCAATGGTACTCTTACTATAAATGTTAATGAACT